GCCCCCACAAGCAACCAAATTGACCGGAAGAGGAAGCGGGGCATCCGACAGGGCGGCCACAGAGCGAAAATAGGGGTCGAGCCGGTAGCCTTTTATGGGGATATTTATGGGGATATGTTCAGAAACTATTTTCCCAAAAACATATATCCCAACAATGTATATCCAAAAATGCATATACCAACGACAACCCGTAAACAAGGCAGGAGAAAAGAGGGGGTGGGGGGATGGCCAAGGATGGGTGGGCAACTGGGTGCAACGAGGGGGGAGGGGAGAGTCATTCTCAGAACAAATTTTTCCTTCCATAATTGCATTATACCTCCTTGCACCCCCTCCCCCATCCACCTTACCCCCCCCCCCTCCTCACACCCCGTTACACCACCCCTTACGCCCACCTCCCACCTTACACCCCCCCCTTCTACCCTACCACACCCCTGGAGGTAAAAACAAGCCATAAACCCTGAACCCTGAGGGTGATTCCCAATTTCAAAATTTCCAGGATTTTTCGGGAAAAATCCTGAAAATTCATGGGAATTTTCGGGATCCCCCTAGAGGGCCACCACAAGCAGCCAAAGGAACGGAAGAGAAGGCGGGCATACGACAGGGCTGCCGGAGAGTGAACATATTTGATCCTGGTTGTTGTATTGGAATTCCATTGCTTCCAAGAAACATGTCGGTGCAAGCGATGTCTGCGCCCAAAAGCACCAATTAGCAGGGATCTCCATAGGCATAAAAGTGAAACAAAGAACTCGGCGTGAGCGACATGGGCATTGCCATGAGCACAGCCGTAAGCAAAGTAGCTATGGATCGTGAGATGGTCTTACATTGGGATGTTCCCCCTAACAGTCCTCCATAGGGATGAAAGTACCCCCAATCCCTATTAAGGACTGTCAGTACGAGGGGGAAACATCCCAAGTCTTACACAAAGATCCCACAAACCAATCCGTCATCGAACGCCGATGACTTGACCTTGAGCAGCTGGAGGTGCTGGCGGCCGCATCAAAGCCTTGACCTTCACTGATTGAGGGGGGTTTTGGGGGTAAGGGTTTGTTCAAGATTCTACAGGGGGTTTTGGGGGGTAAGGGTTTTTTTAAGATTCTACTGGTTTCCATCAGTTATCACCAATGCCCACAATGCATCGGATCAAGATTTTTTTTGGCGCCTGAGAATCAGCCAAGTGACAAACAAGCCGCCGAATAGCGCAGCAAGCCAGAAGAACAAGAAGCCGACCGGCACCCCCCCAACGAAGCCGAAAGCATATTGGAATATTGCGGGAAAAGTTGAGCTTCCTGGATCTCCGCATGACAATCCGTCGTCTGTTTCAAAGCACTCTACACCATCTCCGACCGATGGTGGATCACCACTGATTGTCACACCTGAATCCCCCATTGTAAATTCTGAACATTCCCGCATCAAGTTGGTCTTGCAATCAGGGCAGTGCATTCTGTATGTCTGGGAGCGACGTCGGCAGCTTGATTCTATGGAGCCTGAGCAGGAAGGCGTCCCAGAGCAAGAAAAGCAGGATGAAACCATGCATGTACGCTTCTCAGCGGCACCGCTTGCCGCGCCGCGCAAGACAGAGCCCACGATGATGCAACCGATCCACCCAAGTACGCAAACAAGTACCAACAGGAAGTGCACTCGTCTTTGGATTCTGAGTCCACGTCCACAACACAGACCATGTGATGCTTCCCACCATTCTCCTGTCAGGCAGCCCATGCTGTGCCGAATACACCGGCAGCTGAGGCGCACGAGCCAGCTATGTAGGAAGTCGCACTGACTAACAATGAGCCAACATGCACGAACCCAAACCAGGCCATGTTGACACAGTCATGGATCCAAGCTATCCACACTGAAGCCCAGCTAAGTTATGCTAAGTTCGTGAACCAATGACCGACTCCATTCCAGCAACATCTCTCATTAATGGCCCTCAACAAGATCTTAAATCATGTACACTGTTCTGGATGAAGTGGAGTAACACGGAGGAACTCACATCGCAAATGTGTGCAAAGCTTGGCAGGACCCACGCTGGCTGAAAGCTGTCAGTCACAGGCAGAAAACATCAGCTGACGATGCAGTACCGTGTCTTACGGAGCACCTTCAACCGATCTTGAACCAGCTCAGAGAGAGTGCTCCCAATTCTATTCTCAGTACAGATACGTTCTGCCAGCTCCAAGACTTTCTTGGCTTCATCATCCTGCAGGGTTTCGGGTTTAGGGGCTTTTAGGAACATGTTTCCAAAAGGAGCAGGGTTTCGGGTTTAGGGTTTCGGGGTTTTTAGGAAGATGTTTCCAAACTTAAGGAGAGCAAGACGAGGGGTAGAACCAATGGTTTTCTTGGCTCTTCCAGGGTCCTGTTGGCAGTCCAGCAGCGCGCTGCCCAAATCCAACAGCACCAGAACGCCACTCTTGCTGTGCAGCTGATTTGCGTCCTCCGAATACACACATGCAACCTGCGCAACCCAGCCGCTTCGACTGCATTCGGTGCAACAACGAGTTGTTTGACAACATCGGCCTCCAGAAGCTTCCTTGCTTGCCAGAGAAGCTCCAGCTCTCGTCGAAAGTCACCCAACTTGCAGAAGCATCGGGCAGCCCTTTGCACCACTGAAGCACCTAGCATCACAGGCTCTGAGCGGCTGGCGCAATGACAGCCGCTGCATCTCACACAGCTACTTTTAGCATGCCTGCGTAACGCATGTTTAGCTGGCATTCGGCTCCACTCGCTGCGAGGCTGCGACCTTGAGGAGTTTGCAGTGAGCTCGTCTTTTGCAGAATGTCCTTGCTCGCCTCCTTGGTCTCAAGCATTTTGGACACCGATGTTGTGCGGAAAGCCGCCGCTCGAAAAAGAAAACGCCAAAGGCCAAGCCGCAAATTCATCAAGAGCGGCTTGAAAGTCGCCCAGCATGAAGTAGCACACACCCAGCTGCTGCAGCACATAAGCACCATGAGGATTGTTGAGCTGGCCCAATTGAATCCGTAGATCCTTCGCTTCCTGCGCGTGCTTGAGCCCTTCGCCTGAACCCAGACGGCACTCCGCAACTCCCATCATGGCCAGCAGGTCAGAGGCATCCAGAGATCCTGCTCCGGCGTCTAAGAGTGAAAGCACAGCTGTCCGCACCTACAAGAACGAAGAACAACCTTTTAAAACATGAGACGATCTTCATGCATCCATGAATCGCTCCGAGCCGCACGCCTGCCTGATTTCCCAGGCCTTTCGGTAGTTGGTCAGAGACTCTTCCACGCGGCCCATCTCCTGTAAATTGGCAGCGATACAGGTCAGGACAGCAGCACCATCGTGGGACTCCAGCTGGCCAAGCAAGCGGAGCATCTCAGAAGCCCGGTGGAAAGCGTCTGCTGCTTCACCATTTTGCCCTAGGTAGTCATAGTTCTTCCCAGTTACGCGCCACAGATTTGCTTTCTCAATCGTCCCCGCATCGCCAGTGGTGAAGGCCGCATCTCTGGATGCCGATAACAACTTGTACGCATCATCGAACCTGCCCAGTCGATGCAGCAAATTTGCTGTCCTTCGTATGATCAAGATTGATCAAGCCGGAGGCATCCCACACATGTGAGCAGCAGGCGCTGATGCGGCGACTGTGACTATCAAGCAGGGACTTACGTAGCTACTGCTGAACTGCTGCCAAGGAGCTCTGAAACAGTAGTTGCTGCAGCATCCCCAACCAAGCAGCCTCTGGACAGCTGATCACGGCACTCGGTGCATGCAGCTCCGGCCAACCAGGAGAGCAATTTCTGCCGAACGACCTCAGACAGCATGCTGCGCAATGCTGCGACCTGCTAAAGACCCTCACATCACAGTCGGACTGCAGCCAGTCCATTCGGGCAGCGAAGCTTGTTGTTTTCTTACAGTTGCCCGAAAGCAAAGTTGAAAGACACACATCGTCCTCTTTGGGTCCCTGGCTTGATTGAGCTCGTCCAAGCCCACACTGTTTTGAGCAGCTTGCAGGATCATCTCCTTGTCACTAGCTACAGACGCCTCGGCAGTCCGTAAATCCAGCTGCTCCAAGGCAAACCACAAGTAACCTCAGCCCAAGGCTGTCGATGCACTCAGTACAGTACCGGCTTGACCCAAACGCGGGCGACGCTCATTGGCGCTTTCAACGTACATGCGGGGTGTCTGCAGTGATGGGAACACGCTTTCGTGGCTCCAACCCTGGTTATCCTTCAGTTGTGTCATGTACGACTGTACAGGACCGTATAGCACCCCAGACCAAAGAGAGGCCAAGCCAAGAGACTTGTGAAGGCCCCCTCGGAGATGCTGCTGCAAAAGCGCTGCACTTCGCTAGGAGGCATAACCACTGTGAGCTTACAAGACTCCTCGCTGAGCGCTGTGAAGAGCTCGAAGACGCACCAAGCGCGTGTCACGTACACCTTCGTTTTTGGTCTCTGCCTGTCCCTCCATCTCTGTCTGCATGCTCATGCGACAGCGTCTGAACTGGGGCTCTCCACATGTTGCTGCAATGTCTGCGGAATCTATCGACATGGCGCAGGACGCCGCCACCTCACAGATCTGACAATGCTTCCCCAACTATCAGCCTTCCTTGCAATCGAAGCGCAGGTTTGTCCCAAGGGGACATCAGGGCAAGCACTCTGCCAATGCCATGCACCCGGCTGCGGAACTCGCTGCGGAAGTCCTCGAAGGGCACCTCTTCTCCTCGCTCCCGGACCTGACGGAATTTGGTGTTTAGAGGTGCTTTAGGGTTTAGGGTTTAGTGTTTAGGGTTCTAGTTGCAATTTGCTTGCCAGTTCTAGGGTTTCGGGATGTTTCGGGTTTGGGGCTTAGGGTTGGGGACAAGCAGCTTGCCTCCACCACGCGATGCTGATTGATGCACAGGCAGCAGATCCAATAATATGTGCCTCTATCACTCGAGTGCCATGCGGCCATAACATGTCAGCATCAAAAACAACCCTGATTCTGAACTCGGTCCAGGCACCCTTGTGGTCATGATGCTCTGAGTCGCAGTGATTTGAAAGAGCCGCAACTACATCCCCGACCTCGTAGCCCCAGGAATAGCTGAGCATATAGTCAGAGCGTCCGACGTGCTCTGCTCCGGTAAGTGAATCGACATAGGACGAACCCATTTTCTGCGTCCGTGGACAAAGCACGTTTCTGCTCCGGGCACGGATGACAACAGGTTCGATCACGTAGAAGCTGTCGTTGCGGGTGCAGCCCGATTCGAGAATTTGATCCACGAAATCGGTTCTCAGATGGAAAGAACTCACACCATTGAGGCAGTCTCCCTGTTCCGTGGAAGCCACGTCCATTGGAACGGTGTCTGAAACTTGCACTATCTTACACTTCAGACTCTCCTTTGAGAGCCTCAGCCAATGTATCGAGTCATGCCACCCGTGGGGTAAGCCCCCCCCACCCCCTCCGACAAACAAGGTGCATATGTATATGTAGATGTCTATGTATGTATTCATGTTCATACTGCCTTTAGAATAAGTACACTGAGCCTGGGACGACTTCTGTAGCTTTGTGCTGCTCACCAAAAACATTGACCAACAAAACTGTTTCATATGGTGCCTTCACAGGGGAGGTTGTCGATGCAGAAGCTTCTGCTCGGGAACTATGGGGCCTTCGTGGGTGTCATTCTGGAATGCTCCTTGCAGTTGAGGGTACCAAAGAGGCCAATGACAAAGATCAATCAAGACCCATCCATGTACACTTCATCTTCGCATCACGCTGACAAAGCTGGCTGGCACTCGCGGCTCCCGTCTTCTTTTGCGCTGGCGTCTATGTGTCTTTCCAGAGTTGTTGTGCAAGTGAGAAACTCTGGACGAAGAGAGCTTCACAGCTTTGAAGAATGGCAGAACGAAGAATTTTTCCAGAACATCCAGAAGAATAAGTGGGGATGAACGTCAATTGAAGCTCCCCGACACTTCTGAGGACTTCTTGGTTCTCGTGGACTGAAAGTCGAAAATTGCACACCTCTTTCAGCGCCTGGCTGGGAGCCTGGTGTGTGCCATGTCACTGTACAAACGTAAACGGAACACAACTTTTGCGCAGGGAACTCTTAGGGGAACCATTTCTCGCCGCTCACGACCTCCTTTGTATCCTTCGGTTTAACGCTGGACTCCAGCTTCATTGCTGTGAGGTTGTCGTCCACGACAACATACAAGGTCACGCCGCACCTTGGGAGAGTTGTGCATCCGGCTCTAGCCTTGAGATACGCAAGTGTGCTTTACTGCACGCCTGTGCTTCATGCAAGCAGCTTCAATCAGAGCTCGTGACGCCCTACTTCGGAGATCAGTCAGAGACAGACAGACGCAAACAAACGCAAGAATTCTGTAGGCCAGCGCAGTTTTGTGAAAGGCCTTCTGAGTCTCCAGCACGGCAACTGCCAAGGCAAGACATCCAGCAACTCAAGCTTTGCAGGTATGAGGGAGCCCTTTCGAGACTCCTAGGCCCCAACACAGCCTGCCAGGAATAGAAGGACGTAGTCCCCGAAGCTGTCTGGAAATGCCACTGCCTGCTGCCATCTGCAGGCGCCACAGCTTCTTACAGATTTCACTTTGCTGGAGAGGGTGCTTTTCTTTGGCTAAGGCAGTTCCTAGCATTTCTCAGCCATGTCTGTCTGACTGTCATGTACTTTTTTAGTTTCTTGGAAGTGACAGAGAAGCGTCCAATTTACAGCAAACGGTTGCTGTCTGGCGCATGAAAATGCACAGAGCCAGTCCTTCCAACACATCTACTGTGAATGCTGGCATGTCGTTGAGTTGCGCAATGTAGCTGCTGGGCATGAGCTTAGAATCATCGGCGCAGAAGAAGTCAGGTTTGACTGTTGTTCACCTGATACACGTGAAGAAGCCACCCCCCTCCAATCAAAGCCCTCTTAACAACTTGTGGCGTTCAAACCTACACTGAACTTGGAACCCTAGCAAAAACTATGTTTCTTAGGAAATATTATCGTGCCCCAAAATCAAAACTATTTCCAAGCATCCCTGAGAAGCAGGCTTCTTGCGGAAGTCCCTGGGCACCCCGGCTCTTGCGTGCGCTGCGGATGGCAGCAGCAGGGCTGCGCTGGCAGCAGCCGCTGTAGGCATCTGAGAGCACATGCGGAACGCGAACCGTGCAGTCTGTCTTTAGCCTTGGAAGTGTCGGCTAACAACCACAGAGTTCGTCAAAAGAAGCCCCCAAGAGGACTGCCTGTTTTTTGGAATCTTAGAGGGCACAAGCTTGCAGTACTATGACTCCTCGATTTGCTGCAGTCCAAGCAGTTCCAGCTATACAGTGAAAAACAGTCGGCTGGCTTTTCGAGTTCCTGGAAAAGAGCTTCGCATCATCACAGCGCCACGAGATGAAACACATGAAACACGTTTCGGCAAATCTCAGCGCCCAGCCTTAAGCCCTGAGGCATGGTTCGTGCCAGCAACACTGCCTGAGGGTTTAGATTGGCAACCCATGATGCTCTAGTGAAAGGCTCTGAACCTTCTATCTTTAACTGCACCACCGGACCTGGCTGCGGTGCTGGCTGTAGGAAGGCATTCAAGTCGTTGGAGCACCACCTTCGCATGCTCCAAAAGAAGCATGTTTTGTGTTGTAGGGCTGAACCCAAGATTTATCACGGATGTGCCAGCATGCACAGCTGATGTCCCCGTCCCTCCAGGGTTTCGGGGTTCAGGGTTCAGGCTTAGAGAGATGCCCAAAAGCCAAACCCCTTCGCCAAAACCATGGGCATGCATCTTGAATGCTCGGCCATTGAGTGGTCGTTTCCTGCCTTGGACCTGACTGTCAAGCCTGTGGGAAAGGGGCGAACTGATGTTCCTGAAAAATGATGAAGCAACCGTTGACCACACGCACCGCCTCTCCCCAGACAAGCAACCCTGCACAACCGCTCCACAGCCAGTACCTAGATCATGACCTCGCCCCCCACCCCCCCCCCCCCGCCCCCCCATGGTGGGTTCCGGTTTTAGGGCTGGGGTTCAGGGTTTAGAGTAGAGGTTTAGGGTTCACCCCTCCCCCCCCTCTGGTCCGTGGTGGTTCTGGGGTTGATGGCGGGCGCATATAACCCGGCATCCCTGGAACCGTAAACCCCCAAACCCTAAAACCAAGCCACAGCCACACCACGGTAAAAAAGGGAGGATCTCCTACGAGCCGGTGGTGGCTGGGGAGTTTGCTCATGTCTATTTATATGTGTAACTGTTGCTATACCAACTCCCAACTTCAACCAATTAAAACGGTTCTGCAAACCACGAAAACAAGAACAGCCAGATGTTTCTACATTTTTTTGTCATGGTTATTCGTATTGCAAGTCGGCCTACTGTAAGTTGGATTAACTATTGCAAGTGAATATAAACATGCACAAACGATACTGAAACAAACTAGCTAGTTCGTGAGGTTCGAGTTTGTGGTTTTAATGATACGAAGTTGACATTTCATGTAACTGGGGGGGGGGTTTGGATTCTACTACAAATCCAGAAGAACGTATGCACAAAATAGCAAGATTGTAGATGATCATAATGCTGCGCTTATATATGTTGGGTCATCGCATGCCCAAATGGTCTATGCTGGATGAACATCACGATGTATTACGCGATTTTAGTCGATTCCACTTCGGTGGACCCCAGCCATCACGCCTCCCGTGGCAAGTTTCATCAGCTCATGATGCAAGTGTGTTCATGATCGGTGCCTGCTCCCAAAAGCCAAGAGAGCCACCTGTACAGCTTGGCAGAAGACAGGTGCAGCCGGGTGAAGCCATGCATCGGGCAGGCACATGCTGAGATCAGAACTAGGAACAGCGGCCGCAAAGCGCGCCTGTTTGCAGAGAACTTGCAATGGATGCCAGAGCGTGTGCATGCATGCGAGAAAGGTGAGGTTCTGCGCCTCGGCCTTTCCATGACTTCTCCACGTACCATCGAAGAGAGGTTTGCTCGTCAGCTACGCAAACACTTGTTGGCAAAATGCGGACATGTGCGGGTGGCATGAGTGCACATTCACATCATGTCAGCCAAAGCACAACTCATATCGCATCTTGAACATGTAAAGCAAAGCTCGCAGCATCAGATCTTGTTTTTTCCGACTGCCTTCATGCAGCTCGAACTGCAGCTTGCCGAACTTGCTGTTGCGAGTGCCTGCTTGTGCCTTTGGGGCGTCAACTACGGCGCATGATCACATCACAGCACCGGCGCTGCACATCCAAAGGCGGGAGGCCGCGGCCAGAAAGCAGGGACCTGTTGTTGAAGCTAAGGGGAAACAGGATCCTCTTTATTCTGTCACTTCATTGTTGCCTCCAAGACTGCTGTAAGCCCACACGACTGCATTATGCGCATTCTCAGCTGCTGAACAAGAAGGTGCTTCAGCTTGCTCTCTTTTCGCACCATGCCCAGACTGTGAAGCACATGCCTTTTTGAATAAAGCTAACAGGTCTCTGCAGTGATGATATTCATCCCCTGCGAAGCAAGGTCATGGGCTTCTTCAAAGTACCTCCACATTGCACGTTGGGTAGCTCGTATTCAGTTGATTGTTCACAGGTTGCTGAATCCTTAGCCCACAGATTCTCTGAGCCTCGCACGCCATGCGAGACGTCATGTAAGTTTTCAGAGAGCTCCAAACGCCCTCTCGAATTCAGATTGCTTTCCTTCCGCGTCGGCCTCACCTTGGCCTGTAGCATCACATTGGATCGGAGTGCACAAACTGAACGCCTGCTATCGCTCTTCAGCTAAGCTGGGTGGCTGGCTTACATAGTATCCTGATGCTTGGTCATTGAGGAAGTCCTCAAGCGGATCCGACACGAATTGCGTGGACAAGAAAGTAACGGAGCCCTCGAAATGAGACGAGCCACGAGTCCTAACTTGCAGGCAAGCGGCGACTTTGGATACGAAATGCGCTTTGCCCCAGTCGTAAGTCGAGGCAATACCCCGTCTTCGCCTTTGAGTTCCAGAACTTTGAAACCTAAAGATTATTATTATTATTATTATTCGTACTATCATCAGTAGTATTATGATTATTGATTATTATTACTAGTGTTATTTCTATTTTCATTGAGCGGAGCCTTCAGTGTTCTGCAGATAGCAAGAGTGGGACAGATGCCGAACAGAGCTGCATCTCATGCAGAGAGCCGATCTTGCTGTGAATTGTGCCGCTCCATCGGTCTGTAGCCTACATGATCGGCCTGTAGATGGGAGAAGTCAAACGGCAACAGCTTTCCCAACATCGTGGGCTGTGCTGGACGGGGGGGACCAGTTCCAGCGGGGAAAAAAAAAGCCATGCAATCAGGGCTTGCTCGGCAGAAACTTCTCAGGTCGAAACTCAAGTGCCAGCC